AAAAAAAAAAAAAAAAACTGAAGATATCTATAACATGCTGTTCCTCAAAATCCTATTGTATGAGGCTATGCACTAATATGGTGATATCCCTAATGTAACCATTCAAGAAGGATGCCTCCCTGTGGTATAGATTAGTAAATAATTATATCTTTTGTTCTTCATAGAAGTCAGCATCTAGATACATTTTAAAGGGGGTCTGTGGTTAACTAATTCATTTATATATATATATATATATATATATATATAAATGAATATATATATATATATTTAATAATGTACTTTCCTTCATTGCAGAAGTTTGTTTTTAATGTCATTCTTGTTGAAGATAGAAAATTATCCAAGTCAGCATTGTAAATTTTGCTTAGAATTTTTATTTATGAAAGGAGATTTTTATATGTGTCAAAAAAAACTCATTAAATGTGTCAAACTCAATTTTAAGATCATATGAGAATAGGTGAAACAAAAATGTTCCTGGAGAAGAGAAAATTATCCATCTTTAATTTCTGTTCCCTCTATAAACATCTAATTTTGTCTTCAATCCTGTAGACAGTATTTCTCTGTTTTTAAATCAGCATCACCCACTTATTATGAAGTCACATATCTTCACATTAGAATTGAAGACATAAAACAGAAACAGTCACAGTTTCAAATCCTGAAGAATATAATAGTAAGGAAGTAAATTATCTTTAACTTACCATAATAAAATATCTGAGTCTGAGTAATGTATAAATAAAAGAGGCTTAGCAAGAAATAACTTTATATTAATTAATTAATTAGTTAAATAATTAATTTAGTATTCTAGAAAATAAAGGTTATCGTGATACTATAAGCCCAGTTCTTGTGAGAAACTAAAAGCCAACACTGTTCTAGAAGGCAGCATATGTAACTAGACATCATGTTTGACTACAAGATTACAAACTTTTTAGGACATGAAAAAGTAAATTTTTTTCTGACTGGTTACACTTCCTTACCAATATAATTCCCACAAGCCATGCATTTTAAGTATGACCAGAAAATATATTGAATCTCCACAGGCAAAAATTCAACAGCTAAATGAAAATCAAACTTCATGTTAGGAATGGGTGCTTCCAAAATCATGTACTGAAACTTGGTTACAGTGAAATAGTATTAAGAAGTTTGAATATTAGGAGATGATTAAGTTATAAGGGCAGAACTCACATTAAGAACAATAACCCATAAAGGGGCTTGAAGGAATGTCTTCTCTCTCATCAGCTCTTCTAACCTATAGGTACAGTGTTGTCCCTTTTTGGAAGTTGTCCTGTTCTGCTGCGTTGATACCAAAGGAGAGTCTCTCCAGAAGTCAAGTACCATTGCCTTGATATCATACTTAGCCTCTAAAACTAGGAAAGATAAGCTTCTATTGTCTATAACTTACCCAGACACATACATGGATTTACTAAAACAAATTAGAAGAATAACAGAGTGTTGCCATAGT